GGGAAAGTTAATTTTTTTTTCTTCTTCTTGCCTACTGCTGTATTTAAAGGATTCCTGCTCGGGTAGAAAGCCGAGGTTTCAAAGGAACCTTGTCTCCATATGGTTTTCCTCGATAATCCCTTATCCTCCATCTTCAGCTCTCATTCCTTTGCTTTCTTGCCTGTGGCTACATTTCTATCTCTGCATCAATTAGCACAGTGATTTATACAACAAGCAAGCAGTTTAGAGGTAATGGTACACAATTAACATCTCATTCCACCATAAAGGGTATGCTAAACACCCCAGTCATTGCTTTCTCTGCCTGGAATTGAAATAAGTGTTTGTCCTAATTCATAAGCTATCTGATGTGAAGTGGGCCTGCTTTGTACTGCACTACACCATTAATCTAATTATAGATAGCTGCAAATGAAGTGCTGTCGGGGCTGGGAGATTGAAGAAAATAGCCTTTTGTCGTTTAGCATGACTCTGTGAAGCAGGATCACACTTTACAGGGTAATGCTGCAAAATGGAAATCTCAGTGATATTGCTGCCTGTTGCATCTTCTCTAATTACTGCAGCGTTGTAAACACAACTGGGCGCTGATATAAATAGAGCTGTAGCTATGCTGTCATGTGGGTTGTAGGAGAAAGTCCTCCGAGTGCTGTTGGATTAAATGATGCATCCTGATTGACAGCTACCTTGAGACTGCACTGATGGAGTTGTCACAGCATTATGCTAACAGGCCAAGCCACCACTGCAGCTGCATGAAGCCTTGGCTGAGGCTGAGGCTGGCACTGGCCTGGCACTGGCCTGGCGCTCTAACTGCAGCCTGTCCTTCCACCTTTGTTACGGGGTTGAACCTCTAAGAGGCAGCCATCAGCTCCTATTCTGTGTGTTTTCTGGAGATTTCTCTTTCAAAAGAGCAGCTAATGGGCTCTGTGTTCAAGTAGAGAAGAGGGTACAGTCCATGGTTGGGAACCTTGCTTTTCCTCTTGTTAACTGTGTGCTTGTTCTACCAAGAACTAGGGAAAGGAACACAGGTGACTTCTAATTCCACTGTGTGGCTTAAGGTTTTCCCTGCCTTTCTGAAGAACTGGAGTTTTGGAAAGACAGTCCTCATTTCTGTCCACTTCCAAACACTAATGATGATTTTCCTCTGGCTGAGTTAGGGAAGGAGTTCTTTAGGGAACAGTGAGCCTGTTTGTTCACACTAGGCGAATGAAGATGTGGCTTAAGGATAGAGACTGAGGGGGTCGGGTTAGGAAGTGTAAAACTTTGAATAGGAGGACAGTCTTGAACAAAAATAAGACTGCCACCATACTTGGGAGCATGACTGTGGATGTACAGTTTTTGGGCAATGCTTCATAACTTTGAGGCTTCCAGATAACTCAGAGAAAGGGTTGTTGGCCCTTGATTCCACATTAACTGAGATGGCCAATAGCTAACATGAAAAAAAAGATAGATCAACTGTGTAGATCTTAATTGGCATTGGAGGAAAATGAGTTAGAAAGGGAAATTGGAGCTGAGCCCTCCTTCAAGAGAAATCCCACAGGCTCTGAAATTGCAACTGAAGGACATGTAAAGCAGATTGAACTTCACCTTGCAAAGGGTCACACCCTTGAATCCTGCCAACACTGGTATGTGGCTTGTGAAATCATCGGTGGGTTGTATAGAGGCCTTGGAAAGACATTCACAGGCTTTAAACTCGACTAGGGAGCCTCATGTACAAATACAGAGCCCCTCAGGTTGTAGTGATCACACAGGGGGTGGTTCTCCTCTGCCCAGAGGTGCTGGGTTGAGGAGTGTGCATGTGGTCAATGGATTCAGGCTGTTCTTCGACAGGTGGGTGCCCACTTAGAGGATGCAGTGGTCAGTTGAGCACAGCCTTCTGGAAGACGCTGCCCGTTCCCACTCCTGCTCTCTTCTCCCACAGCCCCGTCTTTGCCTTTGTTCCTGGGTTCCATGTTGGTCCCACTGCCTCACTCTGCACTGCCCACTGCTTGCAATGTTCAGACTGTGCCGTTTGTGTTTTTCATTGATTCTTCTTTCTGTTAAACTTTTGGATGACATTTTCTTGTTGGGCATGGTTTTACATTATAGACACCATAAAATGGATTTGTTTGGAGACCTGGCTAGGAGTGGTTTTACATAGTTGGCTTAAACACCTTCCCTGACTGTCATACTTGGGCTAAGAAGCCCATCCAGACAACATCTGTTCTCAAATTTACCAGGTGGGGTGTTTTTTAAAACTTTCCATTAGTATGGCAATGGTTTAGAGACAGTTTCCTAAAGCCAGTAGAGGGGACTGAGTCTACTACTCCTGAGTCCAGACCTGACCAACCTCCACAGGACCTCCTCATGGCTCCCTGGCTCTTCTCGACCCACACAGGGTGAAAACCTACCATTCTCTGTTAGCAGCTAGCCTTGGAAACATCAACAGTGTGCTTTGCCTGAACACACACACACACACACACACACACACACACACACACACACACACACACACACACACACACCTGAACTCTACATAGACGTTTTGCAATCTCTGGAAACATTTAAGTGTCCATCATATAAGCAGACTTGTGCTCTGCTATTGCTAGAAAGGTCTTTCCTGAAACCTCAGCTAGTTTAAACTGCCATCTCTCCCCTAGAGAAAACAAGGAGTCCCAGTCCAGACGATAAGCTCTGAAAACGCTAGTGCTACTCGGCAATGCCTCCTTTTCTGGAGAATGTACTAGAAAGCCTCTATAGCTGTCACAGGATGTCTACTTGGAGGGGCCCATATGTGTTACCTACTTGGCCTGTTCAGACTTTGGCTCCATGAACAACTGCAGGCAGGGCTGACAAGAGGCTGTTTTAAGATGGTCTGTGATGTTCAGGACAACATCAAAGGTGAGCTTAAGAGGAGGGGCTCCTCTCTCCTCTTTTCTAAGTCAGCTATGTTCAACAAGACCTCTCCTGAGGCATTTACTCTTGTTATTTTTCTCTTGTGATTACAATAAGTCATTTATCCCCAAACAGATTTAAGAACAATAAACAAATACAAAGGGAAAGGAACATCTCATCAGTAACAAAGGCTGTGTCCGAAGCACTGAGTTTGGGCTCTTTTACATCTCTTTCCAAGCAAAGCAGGGGCCCTACAGAGAAAGGAATTCAGAAGATATGAAAGTTACAAAAATAGTACGGGGCCCATTTTGTGTCAGGATCTGGTCCTTTCTGAGAAATGTTGCAGAGGACGTCTTAGCACTTTGTTTGCATGGAGGCTTATTTGTAATAGCTGAACTATTAGTTCGTAAGCCTATTCGCTGTAGTGAAAAGCTGTTAAATTGTATTCTCAGTATGTACTTTTCCTAAATTCAAGGGTCACATTTTGAAATCAAATTATAAAGAAGAAGGGGGGAGGACAGATCTGTATGCTACATTGAAAACTAACCCCCAAGGTGGAATGCCAGCTAGTCACATGGCAGTGCCACCCCCGGTGATGCCAGCTAGAAAGGGAACCTGCCTAGTGCCTTGTGTGCCTCTAGGGTGCTGGATTTTCTTTTCCAAGGCAGATAGAGCACAGATACTAAAACTGTGCAATTTGGCCCAATTATGTCCCCTTCTCAAGGATTTAATGAGACACTGGGAAGTACAATTCATGGGTGATAAGTAGTTCCTCTGCCCAGAATGTTTGTTAGACTGACAGCAGCATGCTTTTTCCCTTGCCACTTATGACTCAGATGAATTTTAATAGGAGCAAAAAGCTTTTATTTGTGCTGTAATTTCACTTAAGAATCATATCCTTCAGAAACTGGCAGACACATCTATGTCTTGATTGCAAAACACACGTTCAGGAGTAAAGAAACATGCAGAAGATGTTATTATTCAACCTGTCACAGTGTCGCTTGGAACCTAGGCCATCAAAGCTCTTCTGTGGGGCCTCCCCCACCCGCTTTAAATAGGCCCTGTAAAGAGCCACTTGGAGATTGCCTCTGTCCCCATGCAGAATCAAAGTGGGAATCAGATTCTGCCTTAGCCTCCCTGCTAGCATGATGCCCACAGGAGGCCTTGAGTTACAGCAGCCTTCCTCCAACAACATGGAGCTGCCTGGTGGGTGCTGCTTCTGGCTCACCCGGAGAGACTGGGTCTGGTGGGAACCGGAAACCTGGCACTGGCTCCAATCCCCCACTTCAAAGCATTTTTTTGTGAGCAAATTTTGGTTCATATATTTATCCACATTTATCTGGGATGTGTCCTGTCCAGTAGGAATTGTCTTTACTAGAAGTGTTATGATTGCCTGAACCCATTGGCCCTCCACCTTTGTGAGCCACCTACATAAAGATGCCATGAAAACTGCTGTGCATGGCATTTTCTGTGTTTTAAAAATCTCGATAGAATTGAGTCTCAACCCAGAAGATATTCTTATATCTTGTCTTTCTTCTGTCATATCAGAAAAGGCTACACGATAATGTGCCTAAAAAGAAAAACATTTCTGATGTGACTACATTTTATGTCACTGGGAAATATTTGAATATTACAGACTTTTCTTTTCTTTTCTCAAAATGAAGACTGAAGCCTTTGTCTCAATTTATTGATCTACCCAGTGTAGCTGCTCTAGAGGCATGGGAGGTTTGTGGCAGCAATCTGCTGCCATCTACTGGTGTACTACAGTGTCACTGCCTTCATCCCTGAGGCTGCTGGACTCACTGGATTTGACTTCCTCTGCTTTGTGCGCAGTGGAGTGTTCCTCAAGCAAAACTCTTGTTGTTTTCTTTATAAAGTTCTGAGATGGTTTTCTTAAAGATCCACGATGCTTTTTTATATATCATTAATTAATAATTTGTGGTTTCCTTTGTAAAAAAAAAAAAAACTGGCTCAATATGCTCCAGAGATAAATGATGTTGTATGCAGGGTTTTAGAATGTTTGACTTAAAGGATATTACTGTAACTTTAATTTAAAGATAAAACCAGGCTTTGAAAAGTGCTGTTTTGGAAGTTAAGGTCATCATTTAACTTCCTTTATGCTTTTCTCTTTCAAGTACAAAGTGCACATTTTAACCAAACTTGCAGCAGAACTGAACAAATTCATGCTTGAAAAAGTAACCGAGGACACAAGCAGCATTCTACGTTCCCCGATGCCTGGAGTGGTGGTGGCCGTTTCTGTCAAGCCTGGAGACATGGTAAGAGCATTTCTGTCTGAGGGACATGCTGGGTTCAGACTTTCCCTACAGAATAATGTCAAATAAATACAGTGCCCTCTGCAACCTCTCCTAAACCATGGGATGCTATGGACAGTAGGTTATGCATTCACTCTGTCTACTTGCTTCACATCTGAGTTGTGTTGGTGACAGTGCCTCTGAGAACCTCCTCCTAAGTGGTGTGGGAGTGGAATAAAAATGATGGCAGACATTCTTTCTCAAATTCGGGGTTTACAGAATCATTTTACTTCAAATTGCTACTTATTCCCCAGCCCTCTGTATAGGAAGCATCCTTGAGGAATTCATCTGCCCAGCCTCATAACTTGCTGTGAACAAATGTGTAGGATGCATACATTTTCTTAAAAATCAGCAGCTTAGCAGCAAAAGTAAAAAAAAAAAAAAAAAAAGATTTAAGATGCAGCTGGGAGATTTTGAGAGGCCCTGAAGTCCTTGTGTTTTTACTTCTGTGTAGGAAAATAACAGCCACATGAGGAGACTTTCACAGGCTCTATGCTGATTCTAGTTTTTATCTTGACTGAAGCCATTGGAATTCACCTAATTTTCTGTAATGATCATGTTAAGATGGCACCTGTTTTTTTTTATTAATATAGATAAAGTACCATGTTAATATTGAGAAAAACCATGGAGTTGATATTAGCGTCTAGAAAGAATAAAAACAATCAAGTTTGGTTGTTTCAAATGACTAGTCCCCAAATTCACATGAAGCTGGGGAACTGACTTAAGAATGGCTTCCCCGGTGATGAAGAGAAAAACACAAAGGGCCAGGCACCCTGCCTTGCTGCACTCACTTATGAGGCGTGGATATTCCTAGAAGAACAGCAGACGAGAAGCTACCTGATACCAGCCTCAGGCTGTAGGAGAGGTGAGATGTGAAAGCTAGAAATTGACTGGGAGTTCTGGAGGTGTCTCCTTCTTTTCATACAGGGTTGGGATTGAAAGCAGGCTCTTCCTTGGTTTTGGCATTAACAATCACAAACTCTCACACTGCATTATCAGAGTAGTCAGTGAAATCTCTGTGTCAAAATGTGCAGGTTAGTGGACTATGAAGGTTTTTTGGTTCCCTCTACCCTGCAGGCTTTTCTTTCTTTTTTTGTTTGTTTGTTTTGTTTTTCTGGAAGCCACCCAGTCTATATACTGCCAGCCTGAGCTTGCCAGTCTTAATTGTGTGGCTTTAATTAGAAAATCACATTTGTGTTCCTCCACCCTCATAAGAAGTGTTTACCTTCAGTCCTAGTTTTCTGACACCTGAGTCCAAGATGGGCAGAGAAGAGGGGGGGGTCAGCTCTGGCCTTGGAGACTGTCATCCTGGCCTCCATTTGCCCACTTGTGACCGATTAGCTGGCAGTAAGTAGAGAGAGATCAAGCAAGGCAGTGCCAGTGCTACCGTCTTGCCTTTTGACATATGCCGTCTCCTGGCATCACTGCTGGCCTTCCTACTTTCCACTCTGTGGTCAGCAAGTTGGGAAAGCCAGGCGATCAGCAAGAGGGAACAGTCTGAAGCTAGTCTTGCTTCACAGGGAGCTATCAGATTAAAAGTACCCACCACCCATTCAGTGTGGGTATTAGAGAATGGCTGCAAGATGTTTTCAGAGAATATGGCCTGCTGTATGTGCTCTTGAAGTTGGAATTCTTAGAGTTCACCTTCTTTACAAATGCTGTGTCTGTGTGTGTACGTGGCTGGCCAGGTGTAACATACATGTCTTTTTATCCCTTTCTTTGGGTCCTCGATGAACTACAAAAAACCAATCATTTCTGTGTGTTTTCAGGAAAAATAACTAAGGCTAGGCAAGCACTCGTTTTTCTTTGCAGTTTTGTTCATAATTTACTGATCTTTTAATAAGACTTTATAACAGAACAGTGGGTTTCTTTTGCAGAGGTATCATATGAAATTCTAAGTAACAAATTTCAACTGCTTTTTAAAAACTATACAATTTGAAGAGTGTTTTAAAACCTGAAAAAGAAGGATTTGGGTGGTTGTATAGAAGAGATAATACCTTCATAGGGCTTGAAAGTCTGAGAACCGCTTCATTTGAAATACTTCCCTTGCCCTAAACACTGGAGTTGAATTTTATTCAAAATACTCCCTTAGGATCCACTCGGCAAGAGTTCCTGATGCTTCAATCTGTTTAACATTAGATGCAGCAGCCAGTCACTTCCCACAAGATAATAGGGTAGGGTCTTTAATGTATGTAGAAGGGATGTAAGTTGGAAACAAATCATAAATTTAATTCAAGAGACAACTAATAGAATGATTTTTCTATCTACCTTCTGGAAATATTTTTATAGTGACCATTATTTCCATTTTTTATTGATATAATGCTAGTCATAGACTGTAATATTTTTATAAAATGTTATTATGACTTGATTTTTTTTAAAAAAACTTTTATCTTTAACAAAAATATTTAAAGTTCCTTGAGCATGTTGGTGCAGTACACGTCTGCCACCAGATAACGTTAGACTAAGTTGCTACATTTGCTGCATGGTATTTCCCTTTGTCCTTAAAGAATAAATAAAGCTCTTATGAGCATATTTGTTTCTTTAGCCTTTTGAAATAAGACAAAAGAGAAGCTAATTTAAAAAAAAGAGCCAACCCAAGATAAGATTTTTTTAAATATTGCTTTTAATTAAGATTCTTTTAAGCTATATTCAGATTCAGCACTCACCTAAAATCTACATCAGAAAGAATTCCCCTTACTGCATCAGAAATTAGGGAGACACAACCCAGAAGAGAGTTTTACATTTCTGACTTATGAGTTTTCAACATCAAGAGATAAAACTGCGACGTAAGTGCCCATTTCTGACTTCTTGCTCCAAAGCCTGTTCACATTTGCAAGTCGGCCAATTATTGTGGGCCCAAGATGAGGCCACCTACCTGGTCCCTAAACTGGCATGTAGCAGAAAGGCAGTTGGGTTTTGGGACTGTTGTTTTCTTGGACAATGCCTTGGGCAGAAAATGAAAGCAGTAATAAAGTCACAAAGTTTCACCAGCCTTTTCTTCCTTCTATGTGCTTGGGGTGGGGGGTACCTTGGCAGAGGTGTGACCAGGAGACGGGACACACAGGTGCTCCACTGCAGAGCTTCAGTTGCAGCCTCCTGTTGTCTCCAAAGCTCATGTAGTTGAGCCTGCAGCTAATCTTGGGAAAGGAGCACATGAACTTGGCAAGAGACTTCTTTTTCACTGCTCAAAGAACCAGCTTTGAAAACTCCAGAGCATTTAGTCATTCTAGATGACGAGGGTTAGGTTGGGCCTCTGGATACCTGTGTGTCTGGCATTGCACACTGGTGCCTCTTGCAGCCCAGCATTCATTACTGCCTTTCTCTGGCAGATGAGCCAGGCATGCCCTGATTTACAATCAGAAAATGATGGCAATAATTAATTTACATATTTTATAGCAGTGACTGTTTAAGCAGTTTGAAGGGAAGCCAGTTTTGCACCCAAACTGCAGACTGTATCAGTCACTCACTCAGAAACACCTGTAAGCCTCTAAATCAGGAAGCATCCAGAAAGTTGGGAGAATCATCTCCCAAGCACCTGTGTGCTCTCTGCTCACCTTAACCATATTTGCTTCAGATTTTACTAGCCATAAAGTGTACATACCATGAAGTTGCCCCATGACCCCTCTACAATCCTGCCTCATCTTCTTCAGAGGTAAGGATTCTCGTCAACTTGACCTTTCAATCATTTTTCCACATAACATTTTTTTTAAATGTTTAGGGATAGTTTTTGTTTTGGCTAACATTTGGAGTTTTTTATTTTTGTAATTTAATATAATGTAAATTATCAGCATAAGAAAAAAATGTTTTGATGGTCAGTCTTTATAAAAGTCTTGTGCAGGCTTGGTAATGAGTTTATTTTTCAAGGAATGGTCTTCCTGGGAGGAGAACGCCTGTTATCTTTGTAGTGTTTTTAAGGATGACCATTCTCAACCTTACCAAGATTCAAGATACCTTTTCTTTTGAATACACACACACACACACACACACACACACACACACACACACACACATTGCTGAGAGAGAAGTGGTTATACATCATTGAGTCCTTTAAAACAACCTACTGAATTCACAAAGGTAACACATCAGATTGGCCTCTTGCAGGGTCTGTAAATCATGCCAGTTTCAACTTTTTCTCTTTGTAACTACAGGCGTTGGCTGTCAGTATGAGCTGAGTTAGAGGGCAGTAGGGAGTCATGTTTTTCTTCATTTTAAGGAATTTTTACAAAACCTGGACTTCATTTACATTGGCTGCGATCTGGATTCCTTCCTGAGCACTCCCCCCACCCCACACACATTCCCACTGCACAGTTCTAAGGGGTACGAGGGCAAAGCCAGGGGCAGCACCGTGCAGACACCACAGGCTTGAGTCCCAGAGCCCTCAGGCATGCTAAACATGTGGCCTCTCCCTGTCCTTTACCCTTCAGACGGAGTGAGCTGGGCAGGAGTGCCTCCAGATGAGGGCCAGCAGTTCTGTCCACTGCCCATCTTCTTGGTAATTTGAGCCAGTCCCATACTTGCTCAGATAGGGCAATCTCCCGGGGTCCCATCTCTCTTTCCATGAGATACACATCCTCCTCCAGGAAGGATCAGGGCATATTTAGCAGCCCAGTTAAAGGAAGTTGGAATAATCAGATTCTAGCCTACCTTTTTGTAAATTGAAGCTGCCTCCTTTAGACCTCAGGGACTTAATGTGTTACACACCTGTATTCTAAGTGGTAAGCCCTTAAATGTGAAATGGGGGGGGGGGGTTCACTTGTGTGCTACAGTCAGGAGGTTTGATGTGGATCCCTGGTTTTGGGGGGACCAGTACAGCAGAAGGGGAGACTGCAGTGGGCCCATAAGCCCTCCGAGCCTTCTGTCTCACTTGGCAGAAAAACACAGAACACAGAACAACAAAAGAAGGCTCTTTTCCATAAAGGTTCACCACCCCCTCCCCCGTGCCTCTTCCCCAAAAGGGGCCTGAATTTTTCAGCTGCGCACCGATTTGGTGCTCACTCTTGCAGGGAAACAGTTGCTGTCTGAACAGGCAGGAAACAGTTTTCTTTTAATTGCCGGAATCATTCGGAAGTGCTTCGTGCCCTGCTTCTATACAGCAGATGCTGTGCATTAATTGGCCTGCGTAGAAGTGACCCGGGGTTCCTTGCAGCGGGCCCAATTTTAGGCAGAGGGTTTAAATAGCTTATTTATTATTTTGTATAATCTGCCGTGCATTATGTGCTCCTGCATGGGTCGTGTTTCATGGTCTGCAGTTTCTAATGTCATGTGGGTTTCAAAACCCGTGTTTCTCTGGTAATGTACTAGCAGCAGGTAAGCTCAAAATACCATCCATCAGGAGCTAATTTTTTATCCAGATACTCCAATGACTGATGAACCTGTCTTTTGTATGAATGTTTAGCACAGTAGAAAGCCATATGCCACTGGCACAGTTTCCTCTGCATTCTTTACAGTTGCTGGAGAGTGGGTTTCTGGGGGGAGGGTGGGCACAAACTGGACGCCATTTGCATCTTCTGGCCTGCATTTTAAGCAATAGCACTTTTAACACAGCCTTGGGTTTGGATGACAAAAGAGGGTAGGGACCATCTTAAAGGAAACCCAACTCCCATAACGATTTTCTCCCTCAGAAATATGACTATGCACCCTTAATAGGGAACCTTGTTTTGTTCCTCCCCGTCTGTTGCAAACAGACCTCAGCCCATTAGAAGGGCCTCCCTTGTGTGGGAAGACCACAGCTGTTACTGTAAAGCTCATCCAGTCACTGTATCACCCCCATTTTGTGGCTCTGAAGGATGAAATTGAGAAATGGAGCACTGTGCAGTCATCCTTTACTTCTCCAATTTTAGGCCTTTGCCATCATTTTCATGCTTTTATTCCAAATCAAATAACATTAGTGGGCTACAGCACCTCTGTGAATGTCTGTTCTCAAGCACAGCTTTCGAGGCTCCACTTTGAGGGGCTTCCTTTTATGTTTGGCAGAGATCCCTCCTTCTCATCCCCACCCTGTACTTTCTTTGAGCTTTCTTAGGGGTGATGGCAGTTTGCAGTTCGAACGATACATTGCCATGTGGGTCCCAGTCAGAGTGTGTTTTCTGAGAAGGGGCATGTGCTGGAGAAGGTTTTGTATCTTTTAATCTTTGTGGAAGGAGTGAAGGGGTCTTGGTAGAAGGAGATTGGGGGCTTTAATCAGAACCAAGATGTGGCCTAAATCATTAGCACAACAAAGCATACTATAAGCTTCAAGATAAAAGTCCCCTGGGAAAGGAGTCCTCTGAAAATAAATGGAACTTGATAGATTTCCATATCATTTATAACTTCCCTTAATTACACTTGGAAGACTTGCCAGTAAAACTGGAAAATTGGCAGCCTCTCTCCATTAGAGTCATTTTGCCGACCATGGCAAGCAGCTGGCTTCGCTGGATTTTATTTCCCATCACTCACAATTAATCATCAGCTGGAGATGTCTGAAACTCCTCAGCACAAAGCAATGCTGGGTGACATTCAGGCCCCTAAACATGTGAAAATCTGCTGAGTAAATGGACTGAGTTCTCTCACAAGCTTACTCGTTTGGGGCAAGCCTGGCTCCCACTTAATGAGGGCTGCTCTAATAATCTGATTCGAATGTGAACCTTGACCCTGTGTCAGAGGAGAGGATGCAATAAGCCGGATGAAAGCCATGGAATTCAGGTCTCCAAACTTTGCACCAATTAGACAGCCAAGAAGTACATCAGGCCGACTGCGTTTATCAGGAAGACTTGCGAGGCTTGTGACCATTTAGTAAGCCCAACTCTGGATACACCTGTCATAATCTGTAAGTCTTTATCAGATGACTCACAGAAATGTTAGAGAAGTGTGTGTGCAGCCATGCTGCAGGGCTGGCCCAGCTACAGGTACTGTGACGGGGACTGCCCAGCTCTGTTCAGGCTTCTCAGGCCTGCAAGCAGTTCAGAAGTTGCTGCAGTGGGTGTGTGCTCCATGTTCTGCAGGTGTGGACAGCACAGGCAGGGAGGCTTCCTCTTGGTGAGAACTGGAGCCTGGCTAGGAGCAGTGATAGTCACAGCCTGGAGACTGCATTTTTTTTTTTTAATGTGTTTGTAGTACATTGGTTTCCAAGAGATGAAATAAGTTGAAATTAGATCAAGCTTGTCTGGGTAACTCTTTTTATACTTGCGTTTGCATGCATGTGTATAGCATTAGTCCAGCTGAACCAAACATATCACCGTTTTGTAAGGCACCAAGGGACATTTTCCTACAGCTGCCTCAAGATAATGGCCTCTAAACATGGCTGAGAGGAGAAAGCAAGCTAGAGGAGGAAGACATGGGTTTCTTGCCACAGCTAACTGATACAAGAACAGCAGTGAGGGGAACTAAGAAGTGTGTGGGGGTGGGGGGAAATGGATGGAGGGCCCAGGTCTAATTCTGTGATTCAATTCTATAATTGCTGCTGGGTGAGAGTCGGGCTAAAGGCAGTTCCCTTCCCGTCAGAAGCTTGTTTTTCATCAAATTACGAGCTTTGCAATTGGGGTGTGGGGGCAGGGGCTTTGTCAGCTCTGAGACTTCTCATTTCTGATCAGATTAAATAATTTGGGACCTAGTCTTGCACTCACACTTACAAGTATCCAGAGCCATCTAGGGAGGATGATCATGGTGGCAAGGTATCCTAAACTGGCCAAAATCTTTCTGCCTCCAGGCTCTAGCCCCAAGAGTGTCAGGTCTTGTGGGGAGGGAGCTGTGGCCTGGTGAAGCTGTCCCTTAATGTTCAGTGGGTATTGTTGGCCCCTGACCATGACCACTGGAGACCTCCAGGCTTCTTACAGAAGACTGTAATGACACTGGTGTGTGTGTGTGTGTGTGTGTGTGTTGAGGACGGGTCAGGGGACTGCTTCTGTCTGGCCAGCAGATCGTGAGCAGTGTGGTAAGAGGAAATGAGCAGTGATAGGTAATACAGCTGCTGGCCGAGCAGAGTGAGGCGAGCCCATCCATGAGGAAGCTGATGGGATAGGGCGAGGAGACTCTGCGCCAACCCTGGGCTCTCAGCTGCTCACAGAGGAAGCCAGGGCAGGTGGGTATGTGGAAAGCTACCACATAAATACCATGGTGAAGATTTGTCCCTCTGACAGGAAACAGTGACCAGAGCCCAGAGGTAGAGATTTGATTCCTAATTTTGGAAAGAATTTCAAGGTGTCCTAAGGAGCCATCTGTGCTGTTACCTGCAGGCCAGGGTCAGGGACATCTCAGCCTGGCTGCTGGATAAGCTCTCAGTGCTGCTCTGGCCATAGCTGGGCCCATAGGCCTTTCCTGTGTGCCTCAGTGACACCCGCCCTTCTCTGAGGAGAGAGAAACGGCTTTAACATGACGGCACGAAGGAGCAACTGTTCTGACACCTCCGGCCGGGGCATCTGCGTCATCTTGGCGCGGCCTTCTCCTGTCCCCCCCACTCTGAAGAACAGCCCTTTGGAGGTGCTGCTTCTTGGTGCCTGCACTGCAGATGCCAGGTGAAATGAATCAAAAGCGGCAGTGAGCACTGTGCTCGAAGCCTGCTTGTCAGCAGTGGCTCTCCTCCGTGCCAGCACCAAAGTCTTGGCATCTCCTTTCTTCCTATATTCCTGTGCCAGAAAAACACAGCCCACCACCTGAACAGCAGAGGAAAGAATGCACAGGCCTTCAGTACTCACACTGCCAGAAAGACAGCTTGTGCCACACAGGGAGCCAGGAGGGGACTTGGAGATCATTTGGGGATGGCAGGAAAGAACATTCTCCAGGTCCTTCTGCGGCATTGGCCAGCACAGCCATAGTACTGTGGCTGTCCAGGAGCCCCAGCCAGCATACCCAGTAGTACTCTGTGGAGCCTTCAGCCCACCACTTCATAGGACAAGAGACCCTTTTCCATAAGACAGAGAAAGAACTCCTGGCCCAGATCATTAAGGCCAGAGAAAAGGGAATAAGTAACATGGCTTTTAGTCACAGTTGACTCCTGGATGGACGTCCCAGATTAACTCTTAGGTATGTGCCTGCTCCGCCTGGATCTCCCTACTGGGCAGAGGAAAGCCACGCATCAGAACACGGGCTTGAACAAGCACCTGCGGAGCACTTAGGCCTTCTTGTAAGGACTTGGCATAAGTGTTAGTACTTGCATTTCTTGTAGGTGGACAGCAGTCCTGTTGGCCCTAATGCTAGGCTGTTGTCTTCAGCTCCCAGGATAAAGGCAAATGTGCACCTGTGGGTAAGAGATTACTGAATTCTGATTCCTTTGTGGTATGCATCATCTCTTTAAAGCAGACAAGTTGCTGGTGATGTTTTGCATAGCTGTGTAATCACCACAGTCAGTTGCAGAACATTTTTATCAACCTGTAAAGAAAGCTTTACCCTTTGGTAGCCATACTCCTTGTCTAGCAAACCCAGACAAGCTCTGAGTCCCTTGGTCCTTAGGTATCGGCCTGTTGCAGACATGGCCAGGAGGTGGAAGCACTGGTTTTGTAGCATCTCTGGCTGACTCCTAGGGCCCTAGGGGAGGCCCCATATGCTGCACTTGTGATCTTCCATTATAGGCTTTTCTAATGAGAACTTGACAACAGAGTAAATGGTCTTTCTCTACTGTCTCCTCAGATGGACTGTAGTGGGAGCCAGCAGAAGTTGGGGGTGTTTCCATGACCAATCAGTACATTTGACAAGTAATTTAATGGCTTCACTCTTAGATGTTACTACAAAATTAGAATGTTCTTAAAATATCTATTTTTAACCTATTTTCCAGGTAGCAGAAGGTCAGGAAATCTGTGTGATTGAAGCTATGAAAATGCAGAACAGTATGACAGCTGGGAAAATGGGCAAGGTATGTCCCCAAGCTCCTAATCTAGCCTGTAATGGATGGAGGACCTTCTCCACCGTTGAGACATGGTCTCCTTCAACAGAATGTCAAGGTGATCTCTGCCACCTGTCCCTTTCCTGGGGCGGATACTAGGACTCAGGGGCTCCACTCTGTCAGTGTGTGTCTGCCTCCTGGAGAGGTGGCTTTCCAGGAAGGGGGTCCATGTGTTATGTTCAGGTAGTCAAAGCACAATTGTTCTCCACATTAATGTCTTTTGGATGAAAGGGTTTTTAATTTTTAATGTTTACATCTGTCTCGGAGGCAGTTAGTTATCTGAGACTTAGGTGACTCAGCAGGAAATGGTTTTACAGAGTGCAAAAATTAATGTAACTCTTCAAGATAATTTCTCCTGGAAGGGACCAATTCAGTTGTAGATGGAGGAGCTGAAGCCCCATGTACATGTGAGGGGCTCAACGATTCAGGCAGAAAAAGAGAAAGGGTCAGCACTAAAATAGCTAAGAGTAAAACTTGAAAACAGAAAAGCAGTGGCTTTGCTGTTCTTGTGATAAAAAGATGCACATGCAGAATATGTCCTCTTTCAGTATCTATAGAATGATTGAGAGGTGAAGACAGCAGCAGAGGCTGGCTGTGTCCTAGGCTGTGGCCTGCACCATGGCCACACTTTGGGGACATTGGGTTCAGAGAGATGTCAGTCACAACCAAGTCTGCATCACTCAGCTTCTGTCTTGTGGTCTGTTATCCCAAAAGACAATGAGATGGATTCTCAGAAGGCGGCCTAGAATTATCCTACCTGCTCTTCATGGGGAAATTACAAGGCCCCCTGCAGATTCAGTGGCCCCAGGCTAGAGCTAGGCAGTGTCCATGGGCCTGTGGGGTCTTAACAGTTCAATCATAAGCTTCCAGAAATATGGGCACAAAAAAATTTGAGCTTTGGTTCATGTAAAACTCATTTTACTTGTTCTTTGCAAACAGTGGACTGATGTCATGGTGAGAATTTGGCCTCGTCATGGGGACCAAGAACGGGTGTGTAATCAGGCCAAGGGCCCTGTGCTGAGGTGCTGACTCAGAATGGCCTTAATTTCTGAGGAAACATGGTGCCCAGTGAGCTGAGTGTCTTATTTGCTCGCTGTTTTGGGAGAACCCCAGGAGCAGCCTGGCTGCTACCTCGTCCTTAGTCCAGAACTGTCTGAAGGCGTGCTGTTGGGGCAAGTCTGCTTTAACAAGACCCAGCTAGCACAGGTCCCTCCTCTTCATTCCAGCCCTGGTCCACAGGCTCTGGAGTTCAACCTGGTAAGAAAAAGGAGTGCCCCTGGCTGGGTCTGGAGCTAGTAGTGCCTGGAAGGGTCAGGGTGGAAACAGAGTCACAATGTGGATCTTCTACAGCCTAGTCAATGTGCTATCAATTAAACACGTACTATATATCACCATCCACTTCACTATAGATAGCCTCTGCCCATCAAGGCCTTTGAGTATTTACACTGCTTTACATAGCTTTATACTGGCCTTAGGAACTCTGGGCTTGAGTTTAAGAGAAGAGCCTGTCCCTTCTTCTCACAGTGGAGGGACAGGGCACAGGCCTATGCAGCAACCTGGACAGTTCCTAGCATTTTTATTTGCTTAATGCCAATATGGCCAGTTAGGTCAAACACACTATTTGTTCATGGCTTCAGCAACCATTGCCAAGTAGGGAAATGATGACCTCTTATGCACTCCAGTCTTCTGCCTGCTCCTTTTAAATCTGAACACAAACCTGGAGAAGCAAGACAGGATTGTGTTCAGGAGAAATCAGGAGAATAAAACAGTTCCACATTCTGTGCCACTCAGCTGTAGTAGGGCATCAAATTATTTAATTTCTTTCAAAAGGAGGGAAATGGTCAGGCTAAACGATCTCTCCTCTCTATCGGTACCTGTTTGGATTGTTGTGTAGCTGTTTGGTTTTTACCATGACACTAAATACACATTCTAGTCTCAAAACCATAGGATGAGGCCGGGATGGAATGTGTCAGTCCCCAGCATGGGCATATCAGCGGCCTGGGAGCAGTCCACAGCCTGCCTTCTCGAGAATTAACTGGGCTGAGTGACGGGCCGAGGAGTTCCGCACAGGCTTCTGTAGGAATAGCCCTGCACTCTGCTTCCCTTACACAGACAGGTGTGAGCAGATGGTCTACGTTTTCGGGCCGAGGGCCACTTACTTCTCAAAAGAAATTAGGATGACTGCCCTCTTGGTCCACTTGTTTCCCACGCTTCCCCAATCGCTTTAATTCCAGGTGAGATCGGTGCACTGCAAAGCTGGCGACACGGTTGGCGAGGGAGACCTGCTGGTGGAGCTGGAATGACGTCACCGTGCTCCATCAGCATTTCCATTATTCTCTACCCTCAGTTTGTTCCAGCGTTCACAGGAGCGCTCCTGTGCAGCAGGTTCTACAGCATCGCATTTATTCCCCAGAAGAAGCAAAACTGACATTCTGCCAAAAAATCACCAATGGAAATTTTTATTGATATAAATACTTGTACATATGATTTGTACTTCTGCTGAGATTTCCTAGTGTCAAAATTAAATCAATAAAACCAAGCACTTGTCTAAATATTAGTTTGCCCTTTTTTTCTGAATGAAGACAATATACACAGAGGCGACAGGCTGTGCCAATTGACTGTAAATACTAGCATTTCCTTATGATCCTTTAAAAATTTATATAAATTCCAGCTCTGCTTCCAATTTTATAATCTGATTACCTTCCTTCTTCCATCATTCAGGACAGATTCCTAGGGCTCATTATTCATGAATTCCTCAGAGCAGGTAGCAGAGATGAAGGGTCTGGATGCCCTCTTCTGTGTGGGTCCACACAGAAGTCACATGGCATGACAAAAGAGATGGATCACCATTGGGGTTCTGTAGACTGGCACAGGGTGCTGCCTTCATTGATCCAATGACAAGCATGCTGTCCAGGTCCCTTTTCCTCTCTCCCTATGGCCAGGAGTCCTCACCTTCACTGTGGTGTGCAGGACAGCCAGCCCATCAGCTGATACCCATCTTTGCCTTTCTGTTTTGTGAAGCAAGTTTCCAATTAAGAAAAAGGGGCTAAAAATAAGTGGTGTTTCTGTGCCAGTAGCAGTTAGTGATAGTCCACTATTATGTTGAAGAGTGAGTGAGCTCTCGGTGGAGTACCAGGGTGCTCAGCCAGCAGCTGCGTTTGGGCTGCAATTCTTGGAATCCATTTTCTACTTTACTAGGAGGCAGAAGCAGAATCATGTGCGACTTGCATCTACGCTGACAGATTATCAGATGGAGGTGGATGGTAATTGGTACTTCGTGTCTTCCTAACATTATTTTAAGTGCCATTTGTATTTGGAAGCAAAGCCTTCTGTCAGGCCCAAGGAACAAATTACTAATGTGTTGGTTCTTCTGAAAGGCCTACCCCCAAGGGCTGTACCTTCAGGTGGCAGAGATGGGCCAGGCTGCTGAGAGCTGGGCACCCATCAACAACAAAGTCTGAGGTCTCAGCTGTCTCCCAGCAAGCCAATGCTCCTAACTCTGCTGAATTAGAATGAAAAACACCTTCTACCAAGTAAGTACATCAGAAAGACCACACAGCAACAGTATACTTATGTTTTAATGGCTGTTTTAATAGTTTGTGTGTGATCTGGAAACTGGAAGAGTGATGGAGTACACAGTCTGGGTGCAGCAGGCTTTTCTCGAAGGTGGTTTCCATCGAGCCTCCCCAAACCAGCATTTCCCACCATTTTTTTTTCCTTTTTTCAAGACAGAGTTTCTCTGTAGTTTTGGTGCCTGTCCTGGATCTCGCTCTGTAGACCAGGCTGGCCTTGAACTCACAGAGATCCACCTGGCTCTGCCTCCTGAGTGCTGGGATTAAAGGTGTGGGAATCAATACATTAGGTTCTGAGATCTAACTGCAGCCAGGTCTTTAGTCACAGAAGATGCCGACTTAAGGTTAGAGCAAAGCAAATCAAAAAAGGAATACCAGATGCTCTGTAACTGACATTTAGGGGACTTCAGCCCAGAGTGTTTCTCATCTAGTACCTGCAGACTCAGGAGCTCCTTGAATAGCAAGCAATAGTAAGTAACATCAGAGTATGTGCAAAATTTGTGTCGAGACCTTTTGTCAACATGTTTTATAGACAGATGTTAAGCCAGGAAAGCTCTGCTTATGCCAGGCAGCCACTGGGCTTCTTCCATCCTGTTAGCATCCGGGGCATTCGCCCCTCACCTGTTTTCCCGAGGGTTGTAGCGTAGCCCATGTGGGCCCTCGGAATCATAGCTTTTATGGTAGGGGAGATGTATCCACTCAGGTGCGTAGGTGGCCGTACTGTACACGAAGCACTGGAGGCTGTCCCCAGGGCCACTAGCACCCTCCCACTCAAGCACCCGCACTTGCAGGGCTGTGCGCTGGTACATGTTGGGGCAGCCTTCGAAGTCATCCAGGAAACGCAACATCTGTTCATCTACCTTGTAGATCTCACCTGCCACACAGTGGCCCTTGCCTGGCAGGTGAAGCAGCCATGGTATGTTGTGCTCGCCAGCAATCACCAGTGGGAAGGACTCAACTGTGCAGCCCTGGCCTCGGAAGGCTGCTGAGCCATGTGACTGGTCCAGCATGACTTTGTGGTTGGGCTGGCCTCGTTTCAGGGTGCCATACACGAAGATGTGGGCCATCTAGCTGTGGACGCTAGGGAGGAGAGAGCAAGTAGGCATGTCAGCAGGTGAGCAGCTTCCTCGGGGCATCCTCCAGACTTGGGGCAACACCATCACATTCACTCCACTCTGCTGGCCCAGAGTGGAAGGAAGAGAAGCCACAATGTCCTAGTTAAACCTCGCCTATGGACACAGAAGCTCATATTGTCTTCATGTTATGAAATGCTTTCTCTAGCTATTTAAAAAAACTGAAAGAGGCACTAGGCCATCCTGCCTTGGAGTTTGCAATCTTGAACCTAAAAAGAGAAGCAAATATCACTGACTTTAAAAATCTGGGCTGGAGGCAAGGTGTGGTGTGACACATACCTTTAACTCTAGCACTTGGGAGGGAGGTAAATCTGAGTTCCAGACCAGCCTGGTCTGCATAGCAAGCCCTAGGTCAGCCAAGGCTATCTAGTGAGACAAAATCTGAGCTAAGGGTGTAACTTAGACTCCAAGACTTAAAGGAAGAACACTTACTAAGCACCATGGTGTGTATATGGCAGGGAGATCTTCCATGTGTTCTAAGCACTCAGAGCTCAAGTGATCCTCTTGCCTCAGATTTCTGAGTAGCTGGCATTAGAATATCAGTACACCTGGCAAATGCTAAGGTGGGAAGAGCAGGTATGTCAGCCCCTCTGTACCACCAGGGCAGACTGATCCAGATCTCACAAAGATCTCAAGCACAGCCCACATATGGAGACAGCCCCTGAGCATCTCACGTAGGAGGTCAGAGTGGGGCTGGGATAGAAAAAAGGCCTGCATTTGCCATTTCATACCCAACATGTTCTCTCCACCTGACCTGCCATCCTCCTGAATGAGCCGGCACCGTTTCTGTCAGTGCATCTGACTTCTGCACTGGAGCCGTGCATATTCCTCTAAGGCACACAGGGCACTGGAGTAGGAGTGCCTCTCTAGCATGGTTTTGTTGTTGTTGGAATTGAAAATTGCTCTGTGTGCTTTGTTTTGCATAGGGGCCTCCTGCTCAGGTTTCTGCAGTGGTGACCCAGCCCCACCTTTTCTGGAAGCCATCAGGATGTCCCTAGCCACTTCAGTGTTAGAGCTGTCCTTTCCTTGGACTCCTCAGGGCTGACAAATCCTGTCTCCTGGTGAACAGTGTGGCTGGAAGGGAATTGAGGGACTGTTGTCCTGAGGGGGTTTAGGTGTGCTAGGGATTTGCTGGGATGCCTGAGCTCTTCTTGTGTCTTGAAATGAGGCTCTTACATTCCCTGGCCCTTTGGTTTCTGACAAGTTATGATGGGGATTCAAGCGAACTCTTTGTATTCACTGCTCTGGGAGTTCCAGCCTGAAAGCTCCTTGGCATGGTCACTGGGAAGTTGGTGCCCTCACTTCCTCCACCTCCTGGAGGAAGGCAACTTTATAAAGCAAAAAACTTTTTTTTCCTCTAATTCCTGCAAGTTCAAGAGCCCAGACCTAGTGATGGTCTTATTACTGGCAGATTCCTAGGGAGTGAAGGGCACCACAAAACAGAACTTGATTTGGCTTTGGGTCCTGTTGGGCAGTGATCCCAGTACTGCTGTATGTCACCTCAGGGCTCTGTAAGGAAGGAGGCATTTCCTCATTTAACACGTTAGAAGCCAAGTCAGGAACCTCAGAGGAAGGTTCCAAGGCAGTAATGGGAGCTGAAGGCCTGATGCTCCTGCTACTCACAGGAACATGACTAAGTAGCATATGGCTTTGGGACAATTTTCTAAGGCTCCTGCTTCTGGCATTCCTCTCCCACCATTTGTTTTGAATGTATTTTGATAAAAAAAAAAAACAAATAGAATTTTATGCAACTGTGATAAAATCTACCCAACAGAAAACCATTTTTTTTTTCTTAAACTTTTTTCTTCCTAACTGCTTTTAAATGTGTAGTGGGGTTACCATGGAAGTACACCACTGAGAAACAGATCTGTAGCCAGATTTTATCCATTAAATTTCCCCTTAATCACTATTCTATTGCCAATCTCCTAGAGGTCTGCTATCTTATCCACTTTGCATAAGTGAAAGCTGACAGCATTGTCTTTTATGGCTGGCTTATTTCACTTCCTGACATGTGTTCAGGGTTCATTCATATAGTGTGTGTCAGATTTACTTTTTAAAACTAAATAATATTCCACCATACAGACATCCCACAGTTTTCTTATCCTTATCTGTTGATGGACACTTGGATTGGCTGCTGTCAATAATGAATGCTTCTGTGAACATGGATGTGCAGGCTACCTCTTTTAGATCCTGCTTTCATTAAGTTTGTGTGTACTTATCCAGAAGCATTTGGTTCACACAGTAATTGTTTTCTGTGTTCTGAGTACTGTTTTCTGTGGCTGTCGTACCTTTTGAATTACTACCAAAATAGCACTGGTTCCAACCTCACTTCTCCGTCAGCAGTGGTTGCTTCTAGATGGTGGCCATCTCCGTGAATATGCAGTAGTGTATCACTGTGAGTCTGATTTGGTGTCCTTGGTGGATGGTGGCCATCTCCATGAGTATTCAGTAGTGTATCACTGTGAGTCTGATTTGGTGTCCTCGGTGGATGGTGGCCATCAGCATCTTTGCATGCACTTGAGTGGCCATTTGTTTATCTCTGAGAACTGTCTTTCCAAAGTCTTTGCTAAACTATTTGTGCCAAGCTTTATAGAAAAGATAATCGTCCTCTTTGAATACATAATCTACACTTACTTTCTCACATCTGTAGGTTAGTTACCTTGTCATTCTGCTAATTATGTCTACTAATGCACATCAATTTTAAATTTTGATGTATTCCAATAATTTATTTTTAATTTTGTTTCTTATAAATTTTGTTGTCATATCCAAGAAACCATTCTCAAACCCAATGTCATGTGGCTTTTCTTTCTTTCTTTCTTTTTTTTTTTTTTTTTTTCCTTTTTTTAGTTTTTCGAGACAGGGTTTCTCTGTGTAACAGCCCTGGCTGTCCTGGAACTCCCTTTGTAGACCAAGCTGGCCTCAAACTCAAAGGGATTCACCTGCCTCTGCCTCTCGAGTGCTGGGATTAAAGGTGTGCACCACCACGCTCAGCTAGTCATGTGGCTTTTCTAACTTAAGCTCTTAAATTTAGGTCTTTGATCCACTTTGACTTTACTTTTTGTCTTTATGTAAAGGTCTAACTTCATTAACTTGCATATAGATATATAGTATTGTTTGCTGAAAGAGCTGCCTGTCCACACAAAATGGTCTTGGAATTTCCTACAGGTTTTTTTTTTTTAACTATACATGCAAGGATCTACTTCTAGACCCTCTCTCCTATCCCATTTCTCTATTAGGTCTGTTTTCAGGCTATTAGCAATATATCTATTTTAAAGACAGTGTTGAGGGTCTAGTGCAGGCTCACCCTACCTGCCACCATCCACAGATCCTTTCTGCAGCACATCCAACTTGTCTGCCCAGCAAGCACTCCCACATGCTTCTCCAAAGTCTAACCCAATGAGCCTCCCTGTCACCTCCTGTCCAGGAGCCCTCTGCACAACCCACCAGACCTAGCCCAAGTCCTAGTCTGGCACCCCTGCCTGACTGCGACCTATCTCCAGTCAGGAACCACACTCCTTGCCACCAACCACAGGTTCCTCTCTTTCCATCTCCACGTCCAACCCCTCCACCCAGCTAGAGCTTCAACACCTTTCTCCAGGGTATAGCCAGGTGAATCACCATGATCCTCCCCAATCTGCCAGGTCTAGCCCAGGTCCCACATCTACCAGTACCCAGGTTCTGTTTGGCCACCCCTTCTGCACTGCAATCAATCCCTACAGTTCTGCCTGGAACCACCTTTATCTTCCTTTATCTTCATACCACATAACCCAAAGGTCCCTCCCATAACACTTTCAACCTTTCTATTCAGCCAGATCTACCCCCATACTCTAGGCTAGGTCCAAGAGGCAATTCCTGTACACTAGCTCAGCTCCCCCACCCCAACTGTCCATCTGAAGCCATTTACAAATTCTAGGCCCAATCCATCCACACGTCCTCTCTTCTGCCCCAACCTGCTCTGTCCATATCAGACTCAGAACTAACAAAAGAAGTCCATGTGCCCAGATACTGCAAAACTACAAACAATATGAAAGATAACCAGTATCTACTCTCTAAAATCTGCCAGTCCTATAGAAGTGTTTGCCAATGATTGCCAGCGAGAATTACTTGGATGAACCCAGGACAATCATAAATTTCATCAAAGAATTCAAGGAATTTAAAGAAGATACAAACAGCTCAATGAAATTAAAGAGAATAAGCCTGAGTGAAGTCCAGACATAAGGCTGATGGAAATGACAATGACAACCTAGGACTTTTGAGAATGGAATTCAATTAGGAGATATAAACATTGAAGCTGAAATGAAGATGGAATTGTAAAACCCGATAACTCAACTAGAAAACTCAAAAAGCCTTACAAGTAGAGTGAGTGAGCAGAAAACATATCAAGAATCAAAGATAGAGGCTCTAGATGAAATAAGGGGGAAAAATTAAAAACACAAAGGAATATACAAGAAATGTGAGACACCTTAAAAAAAAAACCTTCGAATTATAGGCACAGATGAGGAAGAAGACTCCCAAGTCAATGGCATAGACCAGATCTTCAACAAGATCATAAAGAAATCTTCCCCAAACTAGGAAAGACACATCCCTACAGATACAAGAAGCATACATAACACCAAATATACAAGATCAGAAAAGGAAATCTCCACAACATATTATAGTTAAAGCACTAAATACACATACAAAGGATGTATAATGAAGTTACAAGAGAAACAAAATCCAAGTTATATAATGAAGAAAAACCGATTAGAGTAACAGCTGATTTCTCAGTAGAAAGGTTGAAAGCCAGAAGAGTCTAAAGCAATACATTCCACTTCCTAAAAGACCATGATGGCCAGCATAGACTGATATACACAGCAAGACTATCTGCCATAATTGAAGGAGAAAGAAAAACTTTTCACAATATAAGCAGCCTAAAATTATATTCAACAAACCAAATGTAAAGAAAAT